TGTTTTCTTCACTTTAGTGTGCATTTACTAAACCAACTTTCTCACCGAAAAAAGCTGTATTAGGGAGTAATACCAGACAACTAAACTAATCAGAGATAAATTCCTTTTGTGATTTGGGAACGGTCTAGTTGATCATACTTAATTGACAGTGGATATGTGGTAAATAAAACTTGATCACTCTAACCTATTAATTATACATTTTCAAGGTAATCCATTATGGTTCGATCCCATTTTTTACTTATGGCGGAAGTCTTATAGATTGAAAATAATTACCTCAGTAATTATATTCAAAAGAGACATGTAATCCTTTATCTCTCTGATGAACAGAGAAAACTGTGTAGACGATTAAGCATACATTTTTACAGTATATTCTAATTACATTTCTATACCATTGAAGAAGCGAAAACAGGAATTTAATAAGATGAGTGCAAAGAAAGTAGAAAATAATCTACCAAAAATGATAATATTACTAATAAACACATACTATTATTACCTTTTTGTATTCTAAGTCAATTATTGTAAATACTTTAAAATGTTATGAAAAGACCTTGGTGTTGCTTTACTTGTATCCTACCATTGTTATTTGGGACTGAAGTTGATCAATGAATTTAAACTTCATCCCATTGCGAAAAACAGATGACTATCAGGACTCAGTAACTAAGTGGGTAAGGTGATAGAGTTTGAAGCGAACGGTACTGGATTCGAATTTCAGAGTGAACATCAACTCTGGGATGCAGATAGATCCGACTGATGAGTCCCTAATACAATCAAACACGCGTCCTGGATTCCACTGCTAGCTACTATCCATCTTTGCTTAAAGACCTTTTGGTTAGTTATCGAATTACCTAAGTATATTTTGATAGCTCTCTAATACTACGGAGATTTAAACAATCTGACAAGGCTACCTTCTCTAATAAGAATGTAAACGAAACAAGAGTTTCAACTATATCATTACATATAAACTATTATTCCCAAATTGTAAAATATTACAATTTAAATATATGCTTAGCTATTTTATTACTGATAGTCATACAAGAGAGTGTAAATGTCAACTCTGAATCAATCCATCATTTAGAATTATACTAATAGTAATAAAGTACTTATGTAAGAAGGGATTACAAGAATTTAAACAAAGACCTTACATATTTACAATTTCACAAAGTGCATATGATCAATCATTAGATTTATAATTAAGAAGTAACATTTCACTACTAGTTTTATATGTCATTCTTATGTTAAACATTTTGATGGAGTTTTGTTATCTGAGCTGGATGGTTTGGAGCTGATGAAGTTTGTGCTGATGATGTTCGTTCAGAAGAACAATGAAAGCTCCACAACCAAATCATCCATCTCAGAGAACAAAACTCCATCCAAATCATCCACCTGAGCTACAAATATTCTCCACCATCTCATGTTAAACATGAATGATTTCCACCATTCATGTCTTTCTCACATTAGAACTATTGAAAAGTTTTGTATTGTAGTAAAATAGTTCGTTTTTAATGGTTACTTAACTAAAGTCAACCAATAGAGTGAACTATCTTTTAACTGAACTAATCTTCTACAAATCTGACACATAATTAGCAATAATATGTCCACTAGTTACTAACTAGAAGAATTCATGATCGATAGGGTCTAGAAAAAGAATTTAAAAAGTACAAAAACTAGAAATTATTTTTATCATGAGCTTGTATCAATTACAAAGTCATTAAAATTCACTAAACATGGAATATTTAAAAATCATGGTCACCAGCGGATTACTTAGTCTTCAGGGTTTATGCTTACCACAAAATCTAAGGATCTTATGTCTGAGCTTAGCCGACTTTCTTATAGGCACGTGCTATAAATAGTTTCCAGAATTGGTAAGACAAAACAACTTTCATTGTTCTTTAACTACTCATATAAATGGTAATTTTATAATGAAAATAAATTGTTGAATAATATTTTATAGAATACTCCGAAAATCTATTTCTTTGTCACAAATGATAATATAAAGGAAGAACTGATCTATAGGAATTAATTTACCGGTTAAACGATACATTGGAACAAACAATATATATATAATAAAACAATGAGTATAGATGGACAATGGCGAGCAGTGGAAGTCAGGATGCGCGTTTCGTCCTATGAACAACAATGGGAAGATACAAGTAAATCTAAGACTTCACCCCATTGCACAAACAGATGGCTATCAGGACTCAGTAACTAAGTGGATAACGCGATAGAGTTTGAAGCAAACGTTACTGGGTTCGAATAACGGAGTGAACATCAACTCTAGGATGTAGGTATATCCAGTTGACGTGTGCCAAAATAGGATAAAACGCACGTCTTGGATTCCACTGCTAGCTACTAACCATCTTTGTTTATAAAGCTTGTGACTTAAGGCAATCCGCACAGGATGCACATATGCCACACATGAGACTGATCAATTGCATTCTTAAATAACAAGAGGATGGTACAATTAAAATAACCGCTAGTGAATATAAACACAATGAGTATCATTTGAAACATTATGAAGAAAAATTGAACCTACGTACAGATTGAAGAATATGAATAATAATTATAATGAGTAAAAATTTTAAGTGCAAAAATTAATTTCAATATATTTGATGAATACTTTATTTTGATTGGTTAAAAATGAATAAAAGAAGTAATGGGAAAAAAATTTCTAATAACCAATCAAAAATCAACTTTTGTAAAGAAAATATTTGTTTAACTAAAATATACTACTTATTGCATATATTTACATATGTATATTATATAATCTCCACTTCTTTAACAACTCATTCGTAGACAATCAAAAGAGGAATAATAAGTGTACATAAGATGGATGATATGAAAAATGTGATTAAAATCTTTCTTTTTTCAATCATGATTAAATTTTTATTTTAGTATATGGATTAACTGAAATAATTAACAGTATAGGGGTTGTGGAGATTGTTAAGTTTTTGGTTGAGATCATGAAATGATTAAATTCATTCTAACATGTATAATGGATAGTAATGAAATCGATGACGCGTGTTTCGTCCTATTTTGGGACTCATCACCTGGATGTACCTACATCTCAGAGTTGATATTCACTCTAAGACTCTAACCCAGTACTGTTTGCTTCAAATACTATCGCATTATTTACTTAGCTATTAAGTCCTGAAAAGCACTTGCTTGTGAATTAAGGCAATATCGTGACAATCCGCACAGGATGCACACATGTCAACAAGTGACTGATCAATTGCAGTCCTAAACATCAATGGGAAGATTTAAGTAAATAATACCAAGTGAATTTATAGTTGACTACGTTTTGAAAGGGAATCACTTATGAAGACCCTGATTTATGACGAAACATTACATTTTGCAATAAACAACACAAATCTAAATATATATTATTTGGAATCTATTATGTCATATATTTGCTTGATATATGTTGTAGAAATTCAAAAGTGTAGAACGAATCTACTTTACTCGTTTAGAATTCTTGTGAATGATAAATGCTAGTAAAATAAAAGACTAGTACAATTACACTTGAAAATCAACTGAACAGAACTTTAGAACGTTTATTGAATACATTTACAATATAATTGTGATAATTTCCTTTGTAGAACATTGGATCATCTTGATGGAGTTTCGTTCTCTGAGCTGGATGGTTTGGTCTTAGAGCTTTCGTCGTTCTTCTGAACGACATCATCAGCACAAACTCCAGATAGAATTATCTACAGAGTAGATGAGATGTAATATGAGGTAAGATCACTCACTTTTCCTTTTATCTGGTAATGATAGCATTTTTTTCATCATTGCTAACCACTCTTGCTACCTTGACCATTGGTATAGGAGTGTTTGTAGCAAAGCTTTGATAAACTATTTTCGTATTTCTTCCGTTTCTTATGTTTTACTTGTTCTTAACATTTCGCCTCTTAATTCTTACATAACTACTATTCTACTGACTATTCATTAAAATATTTTGTTAGTTCCTTCTCTTTTCATATGTTATGCAACTTAGCAACTACTTAATTTTCAAATAATTTCTTTGATTATTATTAACCCACTTTCTTCCAATTACTCAATGTTAATATATAATCGATATGTCATGATATAATTATTACGTAACGTCGTCTAATCGATGAGTATTATATATATATACATAAGCGAAGATGGATAGTGGCTAGCAGTGGAATCCAGGACGCGCGTTTCGTCCTATTTTGGACTCGTCAGCTGGATGTACCTGCACCTCAGAGTTGATGTTCACTCTGGGACTCGAACTCAGTACCATTCGCTTCAAACGCCATCGTGAATATATATTAGTGTAGAGCCATGATGAAAAACCAAATGAAAAGAAATTTCTCCGCTCGATTCATTCCTTGTTTATTCACCAAATGTCAAAATGGGAATTTTCACTATCTTTTACAAAAAACAAAACACTGCAGATCCACATATGATGTTTCTAGTTACTTTAAAAGTATATTTAATTTATAAGGTTGACAAAGTAATAAAACTTTATAAAAAAATTAACATTATAATAAGAAACATTATAGAATAACTGTAGTTAGCAATAGAATCAAAAAATAGAATGTATTGAACAGCGGTTTTTGTTTTGGTATAGATAATTTCAGTGGTTAACACACAAAAACACACCATAGACAAAATCAAAGACATTTGCCCAACACTGAGAGAGTGTTAACTTTAGATCATTGAGTTAAATGATCTAATTCAATATGGGATGCAAATAGAGATTGGACAAACTTCCTAAACCTTCTGTTTTAATAATGTTATTATCATATAAGAGTGGTTAAATTCTTTACGCATGTTACTTCAGAATACATGTTATGTGTCTTCGAAGAGATGTGATTTACTTTTAATTATAGAAAGTGTATTTCAATGATTTTTACTGTGGTTCCTATTTCTATCCCATGTTTTCATGTAAACATTATGTAATGGAAAATTTTTAAGCTTTATAAAGCCAACTTGGAAAACTATAACACGTTTAGACATATTACGTTAAAACTTACTTCATCTTCTGTGTTTAGTTGTTCTCCAGAATGATCCACATCACGTTCGTTTTCCTTCCTAAAAACAAAATTTATTTGGTTCTTAATATTACTAAATGATGCCAGTCATACGATTAATGAGAATTAGGAACAACTGGAAAGTTGTTTAATCCATGGAACTAATGCATTCTCATACTTACTTGGACATGTTGCCCCTCGTGGAGGAGCATAGGTCACCAACTACCAATCTCCATCCAACTCTGAGCAATCTTTTCCAATTCTTACAGTTGCTATTCGTTCTTTTGATGTATGCTTTTAATTCCCAATTCAATGTGTTCTTTGGTCTTTCGTTTTTCCTTTCGTTTAAGATTCCAGGCCAGTGTTTGCTTCGCGACGCAGTTTGATGATTTCTGTAATGTGTGTTCTATCTACTCCCAACGTCTTTTCCTAATTTTCTCTTCAGATAGCGGCTAGTTTTTCCTTTTCTGCAGTAGGCTGTTGTTGATGGTATCCTGCCAATGGATATTGAGTATCTTGCGTAGACAATTCTTTAGAAATACTTGTATTTTCTTGATGATGGTTGTAGAAGTTCTCAAAGTTTCAGCTCCATACAGTAGAACTGCGTCGACATTCACGGTGAAGACTCTGACTTTGATATTGTCTCGCAGACAGTTGTTTTGAGTTCCATATGTTCTTCAATTGTAGGAATATTGCCTTTGCTTTGCCAATAATCACCTTTACATCTTCATCAGATCCTCCTTGTTCATCGATGATGCTACCCAGATACGTGAAACTTTCCACCACTTCCAGAATTTCTCCATCAAGTGTGATTGAGTTGGTGTTCTCTGTGTTGTATTTGAAAATGTTGATTTTTCCCTTGTGTTTAGGCCTACTGATGCTAAGGCTGCTGCTACGCTAGTTGTCTTCATCTGCAGTTGTTCGTGCGTATGAGATAGAAGGGCTAGTTGATCTGCGATGTCCGAATCGTCTAGTTACATCTAGGTTTTGCATCGTATTCCGTGCTTTCCTTTAGATGTGAACGTCTCCATAATCCAGTCAACCACCAGAAGAAGGAGAAAGGTGAGAGTAAGCAGCCTTTTCTGACTCCAGTCCTAATTTAGAATGTGTCTGTCAGCTGTCCTCCATGCATCACTTTGCACAGTAGTCTGTCGTATGAAGTCTATATGATGATGACAATTTTCCCAGCTACGCACGCCATAGTATCGAAGAAGGTTCCACAATGTTCTCCTATCCATGCTGTCAAATGCTTTCTCATAATCAATGAAGTTGATATACAGTAACGAGTTCCGCTCAACTGATTGTTCAAAATTATTCGTAATGTCGCGATGTGGTCTGTGTACAACTAGTCCTCACGTAATCCAGCCTGTTGATGTCGAAGTTGGGCATCTACCGAATCGTTTATCAAATTCACCAACACTCTGTTGAAAACGCTTCCTGGTATCAATAGCAGTGTGATGCCTCTGTAGTTCTCACATTTGCTCAGATCTCTGATCAGGAATCCCTCTTTCCAGTCTGTCAGTGCCACTTGTCCTTCCTCCCAAATAGAACGTGGAGCATAGTTGCAGTTACTTCTACATCTGACTTCAGAGCTCCAGCTAGTATATTGTCAGTTCCTACTGCTTTACCACTATTGATTTATATGATGGCCATCCTGATTTCTTCGATCGCTGGTGGAGTGACATTTATAGGAAGGTCGGTGTGTGCTTCTTCGATGTCCGGTGGATTCAGTGAAGCTGACCTATTCAAAAGTTCCTCAAAGCGTTCCACCCATTTGTTCCTCTGTTCTTGAATCTCAGTGATTGGCTTGCCTTCTTTTTCCTTGACCAGCCTCTCTGTTTTACCATAATTCCCGACTAGTTTCTTTGTTGTGTAACATAACTTTTTCATATTTCCTTCCCTTGCAGTTTCCTATGCTGTCGTATCTAGATCTTTCACATATTTCTGCTTGTCGGCTTTAATGCTCTTCTTTACTTGCTTGTTTGCTTCTGGATATTCAGCTTGTGCTTTGACTTTCTCTTTACTTGTTCGACTGTTGTGAATTTCCATCTTCTTTTTCTTTCTTCCTTGAATCCAAAACAGAGTTTCCGTAGAAACCCATTCCCTATGATAATGATTCTTGAGGCCTACAACCTCCTGACATGTTGAAGTTAATGCTTCTTTGATATCCGTCCATCCGTCCTCCATATTAGTTTCTTCTCTTTTGAGTACATCTTGTAAGGCTTGGACGTGTTGTTGAGAGCTATCTTGAATCTGTTGAATCTGTCAGTATTTCGAAGGAAGGTTGTATTGAAGCTTTGTAATGCTGATTGTCTAGCTGTTCATTGCTTCTTCAATTTCAGTTTCATCCTGGGAACCACTAGGTGGTGATCTGAAACTATGTCAGCTCCTCTCCTGATTCTCACGTCTTCCATTGTCCTTCCAAGTCGTTTATTGATACAAATACGACTGATCTGGTTCTGTGTAATGTGATCCGGTGAGACCCATGTAGCTTCATGTATGCGTTTATGGTGGAATATTGTGCCGCCTATAACGAATTTTTTAAATGCACATAAATTTGAAAATCTCTCACCATTCTTGTTCCTTTCTCCCAGTCAGTTCATGTCGTCCTATGATATCTTTATATCCGTTTTTGTCCATTCCAACTTTGGCATTTAGGTCGTTTCCTGAGCACTTCACTATGATTGATTGCAGACTCTCATAGAGCTGATCGTTATCATCGTCAGTGCTATAATTGAAACGTGTACAACATTGGATAACACTTATTATGATTCTCTCCATCTTTCCTTTGAAGGATGTTTTGATGATCCTGGATCCATGAGATTCCCATCCTATCAGTGCATTACATGCTTCTATGGACAGCATCACAGCAACTCCTTGAGTGTTTGGAGAATTTCCTCGTTTATGACCAGTGTGTAGCAGCACCTCTCCTAAATCTTTCATTTTCTGTCTACCTTGGGTTCAAGGGTTTCACTGATTCCGAGCACTGCCATGTTGTATCTTCTCATTTCCGTAGCTGTTTGATTGGTCCTCCCTGTATTCCGAATTGTCCGAACATTCCATATACCTGAATTAGTTGTTGCTGTGGTTGTTAGAAGCGGCATCAACCTCGTGACTTCCGAAGAATCTCGGTTTTATCAATGTGTAATAATTCCTCTGAATGAAGATCGTTCAACTAGGAGGATAGAGTCCTGAAGGCCTAATCTATCTGTTCTGGTTGTCACTTTTTTAGCAAGGTTGTTTTCTACTAAGTGGAGCTGGTTACCCCATCTCCAACCCTCCTAGTTTACTCATTCTTGAGACAGTAACCCTAGAAGAGCTACATGCGGAGTTGATGTATTCTGATAATTTGTGCATAAGATATTTATGTAACATCTACTCTGTAGTACTTAGTTTCGAAGTGAAACTCCTTGAGTTTTAACGAGAATCAGTATTCTTTTAATGTAACATAGTCACAAATGAAGCAGTACACACAGAAGAAAATAATCTCCAGGAGACATAAGGATCTTCGATATCAGTCAAAACACCTATTTGGTGTTTTTTTGTTTCAGTCAATTTCATATTGATAACAGTTTGGAGTGAAAAGCAATTTCACGAGACACGAAATATTAACAGAGCCACTCAGTTCAATAGTATACTATGACTATTAATTTACGTCATCTTTCCATTAGGAACATTTTCACTTCCCAGTATACAAGAGAATTATGTGCTGTTAAGAACGACCTACTTCATTATATCTCAGTAGCTTAAACAATTATAATAAAATATGAGGTTTAGATTTTTCTCAACATTAGCTATCTGTCTCAAGTTATAATTTTCTACTTATTGTGGTAATTTTACAGACTATCCACTTACATAAACACTGGCTAAAATTTGCATCAGTTTTTTTGTGGTAAATAAAAGTTCTCGAGTGAACAAATCCACATACATGCATACGTATCAAAACTTACATTACGTTAACTAGTTTTCTATCTCTGTAACCACGATAATTTGCTTGAATTCGAGTTGCTGCATTTTGTTCACGTAGGTGTTCAGTTTCTTGGCTAGCTAAATGTCTACGATATTCTGCTTGAATACGTACAGCAGCCTCTTGATGTTCAGCATTATTAATGTTGCACGTACCAGTCTTTTAGTTATTTTGTATAACGGAAAAAACATTTGAGAAATTAAAAAATAGGGGTCATCTTGTTTAAACTATGTAAAACTATAAAATACACAGTCATTTATTTAAACAAATCAATGCAGATAAGGTAACATTTCCGTTTGTTTTTCTCGCCACTTGATTAAGCAGAAGTCAGTGGAGACAAAATTGAGAATTGCAGATACCGAGTCGGAAATCACGCAATAATGTTTCATGTCTTTCCTTTTGGATTCAAATATGAAATTTAGAAAGTGAAAATATACTTTCTTGACTTTATTTTAAACTGCGTACAGAAAATTAAAAGTGTTTTTAAAGTATTCACAGAAACGCATTAGAATCAGTCCTATTATGGATATACATACACCGTTTTGATTATTTACGGGCACTACTTAAAGTATAACTAACCGATGATCTATACATAAAGGCTTTCATTGTGTTAGATAGAAGATTAAATCACTCAACCATCTGAAGGGGACTTGGTGAGGAATGATTCAATCGACTAGAGTGAGGATGATATTGATCATTTCAATCGTCTGTGACAGGCAACCAGATCTTAAGGAGTAATTATATGGCTTAATCAATTAGTTATATTTGTCAGGTAAACAGTTCTAATTGTATGATATTTTAAATATGTGTTCAAACAGTTACGTTATTGATTAAACGACGTTAAATGCTACCCAGTTCAAGGTATACAAACATGACTGCAAATGATTCAAATGAAAAGTAGTGTATTCGTGTGTCATTTTAGTTTGTTTCGAGGATCAAGTAAATTATTTGTGTGCCTACTCGCGTCATCTGGCTCACGGTTTCCAAGTACCATGTCAGTTAAGCGTCTTGTGAACACAGCAGAAAAACAACATCGTAAAATTTGCAATCCTGTTCACCAAACTAATAATGTTTGATGATATATAAGTTCAAGCACATCCCGAAACCATTAATAACCATAAATTCAAGATCCAAGCCAATAATAGCATGAACGGGTTTATGCCTAGTGTTATGTGGAGTAAAATATGAGCAAAGTTTACGACACATATTGTTGTGTTAGCAGTCATATAAATTCAAAGAAATAGTGCATTACTGTTATACATTCAAACACGAGACACCTTTCTTACTTATGTTATCAACATCTAATAAATTTTACTGATTCTAAATTTAAAACTACGAAACTATCTACATTGTTGCCAGTCTGCAACAACTTTAGTCATGTTATAGGTTAAATAAACGTCGAGATCAACCTGCATATTTTACTGTGAAGGCGAATATAATGCCACTGTTCATATTTTAGGCTCTCCAACAGCTTACAAGTTTTAAAAAACTGGATTTTCAAAGTATCATAAATGACAATTGTTACTATTATATTCATGAACCACTTAATATTAGAAGCCAAACTAATGAGTAGACCGTATCACTTTATTTTTCGTGTTGCTTTATTGATTTAACATCAAACGTAAAATTCAATATTATTTTCATCCCCTCTCAACTCACGAGTTTTTAAAGGAAAACTTTATTACGCGTACCTTTCCATGGCGATTTTAAATTAGCTGACATAAGATAGACTGAAAATCTCAGGATAAGCTATAAGGAGGTCATAAAGCTAGACATAAACAAGCAATTTTATAAGTCTAAAACGTTTGAACTATAAGTCAATTTATGCAAATGGCGTAAACTTGCTATGGTAAGATAAAACAGCTGGTCGGATGACGAACAGGTTAAAGCACATCAACGTATACATGCCTAACCGTCTTTGTGCGTTAATTCATAGTGAAGTCTATTTGAACAAACTATACTGGTACTGAGTACTATGATCTTGTTGAACTGCTTATTTTATAAAGCTTTTAATCAATACAAAGTTAACTTCAAGCTGAACTGTAGTGCGACAAGCATTCAATGTAGTTCACATGCAGTTAACACGCCAAATCGTAAATGTCTCTGAAAGATCGCTTTATAGTTCTTCTCAAACTAGTAGGGAATAACACTTTGAACTTTTGTTTACTCTTTTTGATATTTTCAAAATATCAGGAGATGTACCGCACGTAATGAACAATATTTGACTACCCGGCTTGACAAACTTATACAGAAGGAAGTCAAGTTAAAAACTATGCTTTCAGAACTTCAAAGCGACTACTGGTGAGAATTGCAATAATCTTGTAGAACCTCAGAATAACTTTGTTGATATTCAACATTAATGCTGACCTTGCTATTACTACGAACGTCACTAGCTAAAAGTGCTCGGTCAAATATCATGGCCACCTCAAAGAGTAGCTCAATTTCGATATTTCTCTTCCACATATTCAGTATTTTAGTCCCACATTCATTAATTTCCGCCTTCATCAAAATATTTTGTTGTTACCAACTGTTGTCGTCTCTTCCTGTTTATTATCTGAGTGGTATACCTGAAGAATTCTAACGTCAGCACAACATGGTTCTGTAAAAGGAAAATAATTCGATGGAAGTGCATCACAGATATTATATTCAGTATATATGCACATATAATCACAATCTAAGAAGAGATTGTCTCTACATGAACATTTACTATCCACACTGTCTTGTACTACTAAAATTCTCTGCTAGAGTATGTAGCATCGGGACTTCCTGCTGTCACATTAGAAATGAAATCCGATCTTCATCATATGACACAGGCCACCTAGGTTCCTATCCTTATAACTAAAAGTAGAGAAATTTCCGGAAAAAATGGTTTCAACAGAGTCAAATAACGCTCGAAATATACTCAGACTATTAACAAAAAATAGTAAACGAATCTACCTTACAAAAAAAGTCTTTTACAATATCCAGTTGTGATAACCAATGGTTCACTGCATTAATTAGGATGGTAATACGAGTGATTTTTAATAAAAGCTTAGTAAAAACCAATGCGTTGTTGTACATGTACCTTTCTCAAAAATATGCCAATATAAAATAAATTAGTCACCCTGACCCCATCCTGATCTGAAAAAGCAATTTATTTTCGAAATGTTAACAAAGCCAGGTACTGTAACCATCATATTTGAGGCACAGTTTGATCTGCACTTATTTTAGGAGTCAAAGCCTAAAACTACATGTAGGTAAAGTTCACAAAAAAAATCAATAGTAAATCCACCTATTTTATTAAAACATTTTGTGCAGACCCAGGAAGCATACAGTAAGATCCGAAAGCTTTATTCTTACTATTGAACAGGGGTCTTCGGAAACTATGATATATATATGATATATATATATATGACCAATTCTCTTGAAAATCACAAATTTTTCATTGGAACTTTAATTCAAAAAAATAAAGAACACAGCTTACACAATACGCTTCGCTGTTATAATACCGATCATTTAGTTTTGCACCAAGCTGAGCCAAATCTTCAATCCCAGTTTCTAAATATAAGTTTGATTTAATGTTAGCAATAATACCTTCTCTTTTTAAAAGCAACCCTTCAAAATATTTGGCACCAAAACCATAAATATCTTTGGGTTGGTGTCTTAAAACTTCCCTTGCGAAGCCTTCCAATAAGTTTGGAAAACCATGTGGAACTCTCAATGTTGTATTCGAAAAAGGTACAGCCATGTTTTTTCAAATATTAGCAGTTTCTATGACTCTTGAGTAGTTCAACGTGGAACATTTAAACAAATTATTTATACTACATGACTTTTGATCACTAAGATGCAGCACCGCAGTTAGGAGAGTTTGATTGATTGTGGACATAATAGAAAGAGCTCCCGCTATAGAAGGCTTCCGTATGTAATTGCAGTGGATCACCGATCCCTTCCGTCTTCAATAGTGAGGATAAGAGATCAGTTGAGTTTCAGTTTCATTTTCGGAAGAACAGGAAGCTTGATGGCCTGTGTTAGTCCTGGCAATGGTGGTCTCTCAGTTGATCCAACTTTCTTTTGAAAGAATCGACGGATGGAGCCTCAACCACATGCTGAGTTAATGAATTCCACTCGTTGATGATTCGATGGGAAAGTCGATAGTCAGCTGACAAGTTATTTGTTCTCGGCTTGTGAACTTTTTTGGAGTGTCCTCGTAAATCCTCTGTTTTGGAAGACAAGAAAAATGAGGGCATATCAGGTGCAAATTTATCACTAAGAAATTTGAAAGCTGTAATCAAGTCGCCTCTAGTTCTGCGATATGACAACTGGAAAAGGTTTAGCTCGGCCAGTCGAGCATCATACGTAAGCTTCGCTATTACGGGAATCAGCTTAGTTGCTGTTCTCTGAACCTTTTCCAGATGCTCACTGTCTTTTTTTAAGCAGGGTCTAGCCGCTTGTATGCAGTACTCAAGTTTAGGGCGAACGAACACTGTATACAAAGTCAAAAACGTCTTAGCGTCGACATGACTAAAAGCCCTACGTATTGACCATAACGTTCTAAAACTTTTGGCGGCTATTGCACGGCAGTGTGTAGTAGTCTTTAAGTCTTGACTAACGATAACTCCTAAGTCATTATATGTCTGGACGACAGGTAGCTCAGTGTTATTCATCGTGTATGTATCTGTACCTTGATGACCGATATGCATCACAACAGACTTAGAAGTATTTACCGGCAACTGCCAGGTTTGAGACCATCCAGGTCACTTCTTCAGGTCATTTTGAAGTTCTAAGCTATCACTCTTACATCGTATCGTTCTCCATATCTTGACATCGTCAGCATATAGCAAGACCGATGATGATAGGAGACGAGGGAGGTCATTTACATACAAGAGGAATAGCACTGGCCCCAAAACTGTTAAACTTTACAATTTGTAGCACTGTGAATATCGAATCTTACTTTGAATATATCAACGAAATTCGCTGATATTACATGTTCTAGTAGAGAATTCCAGTAATTCACTACTCAGTGCTAGAAACAGAACACCCTACATAAACGAGTCGATCTCAGTTTTTGAACTTTCTTAGAATATCCTCCCAAATTATCATTTCTAGATAAAAATAAAGTGTAATACATATTATAGCAAAGATAGTTCTCAATATACGATTGTGGTGTGAGCTACTTATATTGATATAAGTAGTATATAACGTGCGTTAAAAGAACGTAATGTCCGGCAGCAGAAGATGGCGAATATCAAGAAAGGAAGAGCAAGAGCACAATGGAATTGTAAGGAAACGCATGTACAATGGAATGGGCGACAATGGAGTAGTGTTTGCAACGGAAACAGTACAGTTTGATATGATGGAATGATATTTTGCAAATTGACGATTGACTTTATGGTATTCACATTTTATTGAGATAGTCTGTAATTTTTGTGCTAAATACAATCGATTGTCCCCACCCGTGTTCTTGTTCACTACACGATCAACCCGTAGCCAAGGGTAAATAGGCTGAGGCATCGTAGTTCAGAGAGACCTTTTATCATTCTAGTCCCTCGTGTTTGATCTTCTCCTGACATATCCGCTTCATACTTAAAAGAGAAACGCGATGCTTGGATCTCATAGTCCGAATGCCGCAACCCTAACAACAGACCATAGTCCAATAAGAGTTCAGAAGTCATTCATTTCAAGATGTATAAAGGTAGAAATCAGCAAAAATACTGTGAGATAATTAGCATATTTAAAAATGTTTTCTGTGGATAATGACTCCCTGTGACACGTCCTCTTATGTCAGTAGAGACTTCGGACTATTTACTCCAAATACAGTGTATTGTTCTCCTCCAGAGGGGTTGAAATACAGGTAAATGGTTATCCATCTGTCAGTGCTGACGATGATCAACTTGTTAAGTGGATGCTGGGTTGGAATAAAGTCAAAGCAGACGTGTAGTTCAGAAAACCGCAATGAACATACTTCTTACTCTTTTCCACAATGAACATTATGCTATGATGCAGAACAACAGCATCATTTGTAAACAAACTGATTTGGATCAGTGTGCTTTCTTAACGCAGATTGAAGTGGGAATATTAACAATATTTTCGTTGTTTTGAGAAAAGGTAGACACTTGCTTAGGTATTTAGGTTATCTTTATCCTTTTCTACGTTTTCGGTGCGAGATCAGTTGGGAAGTATCTGTTAAAGATTCCCGTACGTGGATAACACAGTGCATCAGCACACTCCTTCAGGAGAATGTTTGGGATTTCATCACATCCTAAATATTCAGACGAGTTGAGTGACTGTAGACATTTTCACACACCAGCTTCAGGGAAAATTGAAACACTGCTTTTTTGAAACTTGTAGATTGAAAAAGCATAATATCTAATAACTGGCGTACAAAAGAATTATGTACGTCACAAACATTCAGCTGGTTTTCGTTTCTAATGTCCGGCTCACCCGTCAGCTCCTTAAATAGTTTACACGTACTTGGAGAGTTTTTACAAGATAGGAGCTTCTGAGTAATCATTGAGTTTAAACGTCTAATCTCTAGGTTGATTGGACAATTTAGCTTCCTAACTTTAGTGGAGCTTTTCTTCTTGTACATTCTTCTTCTACGCCCTGTAATCATTTTAGCTGCAGAAATGTAAGTCGATCAAAACTAAGAAAAATTGTTTCGGTAGGATAGTAAATATAAAACAAAATTTAAGACAATAAGCATTTTCCAATAACTCTTCTGTAAATAATTCTCAGCTTACCGCACGAAACTTACTTTTCATATTTTGGACACTTCATTTTCAGCGATTCATGCACTTGATTTTCTTTGTCTGATTTGAGGGTGTAATCTTTTCAAGCTTGCCATATGCTTTTGGTGAAACACAAATTATACAGTGATCAAAACTAGAGAGTGGAACACGTTTACGAGCCATTTATTTCTCCACATCAATAATGAAACTAGATATAAATGGGTTCCCAAACCAGTGGGAAAATCTACTACATTTCGGTGATCTAGTGACGAAACGAGACTACAATCACATAAATTAAGATTACCACATACAACTGAAAGCGAATCATTAAAAGCGGTAATAGGAAACACAATGAATTCGTTAACAAATAAAGCTAGTGCAGATGACGTACAGTCCGGAGTCACGTAGATGTTGTTAACATAAATAGAATTATATTTATTCAAATATTTTGAGCGAAGTCCTAATATTTAACAGTCTATTAAGCCGTCTGAAAACTTAAAGCATGCAAAAGTAGGTCCAGAGAAGTTGACATTTACAATTGTAGCTTCTTTGCTGCTGCATCCTTTTCACTGCTCAATCTATCCAGACGATAACTAATGAAATTCTGTAGCGATACTAAGCATTCGTCTCGCAAATTACTTAACCGGAATTCCTGAATTGTGAATACACCACAATCTCTCCTGAATAGGTTATGAGGTTGATGGCCATAATAATGTGTTGTACATCTGATTCCAATGTTTTTCCACTAGAGTTTGTGTTGGGACTGACCTTAGTCAAACATTTCAGAGGGTGTCCACGAGTGTTTAAGGTGCTACACTGTGGTGATCATAAGTATTTGACTTATCATACGAACTAGGAATCCCAGAAATAACGCCATTTAGTCCAAGAAGAACTAATTGAGCGCAAACTAACATGTTGTATTTGGAATTCAAATCAAACATACAAATGGGTGATTAGTTCATACAAACACCACATATGCGTCATCTCTGTAATTTAATAGATAGAGATTAATTGATTTGAAGCCCTTGTCATACGATCCACATGTAAGTCCTCCAACTGGTTTCGTGGCTCTCTTTTAAATACTTTTTTGTGTTTCTTTACCTCGTTGGTTGACTAGACTTTCAAGGAGAAAGATAGCTAGTTACTGACCAGTCATGTTTTCGCAACCAGAGGCTGTTCTTCGGTAAGATATTTCTAATACCAAACTATAATTAGTGTTATGAAATCCAAGAAACAAAAATTTCATGAAGTTAGAAGTGATAACCTTGAGCTGCGGCCGCAAATATTCAACTTGTCCATGTTGGATTAAATCAAGAATTATGGATATTGTGTGTGTTGGTGATAGTGTAGTGGCATTGATTTCAGACCACATGATCTTTGAAGCTGCGTGTATAAGTACTGAGAAGACTTTATTTCATCAATTAGCTCGGAGAGAAGGTCAGTGATGGTGAAGGGGGAAACACTTAATGGGTGCATCATGGTTCGGACATGAAGGTATGATCGACCTTTGAAGTTCATTCACATTCAGATTAAATATATTAACCTGTTCCCAGCCTATATGTGTTCTGCTGATGTAAGATGGTCGTTGGAGGTAGTCAACAAGAAACCCTGGACCCTGTTTCGTGCTACTTGGCACTCGTCAGCAAGGTGTACCTGTAATCTTGAGGGAACTGGTGCTCCCTGGCGGATTCGACCTCGTCCCACTCAGCTTCACAGTCAGAGACGTTACCACTGAGCTATCCGGGCTGCGACCGACTGGTGGCCACATTGCAACATTATCGATAGCATTCGATCTGCATTATTAAGGACTAGACACGCATGACAGTGATCGCCACTCAACGATCAATCAATTGTGATGGCTATCCAGAAGTGCTAAGCATATTCCTAATATTTACGGTGGGGTATGTGTAGCATGGCGTCCAGTCGCTGTTGACTATGATCACCACTGCAGGAAGACTACGTGCCAGATAACCGATAAGATCCTTCGTAGGCCAAATATCAGAAGGCAGTTGTATTCGAG